CACCATATTCTATCATCACTCTTTCATACACAATATCTTCCATGATATGAATAACTCACATTCATTTTTCCAATAGTAAACCACCACCTACATTTTCTTTTTCTTCATGTACCTCTAACCTCACATAAAACATCATCCTCCATCTAGACACAATACTCTCTCGTCTAACCTTTATCAGATAAAAGTGGCGGTCACAAGATACAAGATTATTGTTTCTTTTAAATGCCTTTGTTTAGTGATTAAATTAGTTATTTATATCATTTTGTTTTAATTATTTATTTCTTTATTTATTTGATTTGTATATTATTTGGAAAGACAAAAAAAGAGATTTTTAATTATTTATCTTTTATTAGTTAATTGTTAAATATTTGAAAATGTAAAAAATATATGTTGTAATTATTAATTAGTATAAATATTTTAATTTAATTTAATTAATTAAACTATTAATTAATTTTATTAAATATTTATATTTAAGTTAATTAATAATTCTTGTTGCCCGATTCTATCTTTGTGACTTACTTCTTTGCTTTTTGGTTTTGTTTCTTTCAATCAATTATTAATGTTCTGCCATTAATGTATCTACACGATGCTTTGTCGTGTATGCTTTTAGTATTTGTGGATTTTATATGTGTGTCTGAGGATTTTATTTGCGATGTTTTGTCGCGTGCTTTTAATTTGTTTCATAATGTTTTGCCGTGACTATTCTTTCTGTTTGTGGATTTCTGCGATACTTTGCCGCGTATCTCTATTTGATTACCATGATGTTTTCTCGTGCGTATTCTGTGCTATTTTGTCTGTTTGACCTTACATGACGCTTTTTCGTGTACGGTATCTATATCTTCATTTGATGATTTCCATTTACATGTGTTCTTCCATGTATTTGTTGTTTTGTTTTCTATCCTTGTTGACCTAATCCAAGGGAAGAGATTGTGTGTTGATTTATCGTCACTGTGCATGTTCCTCGTCTGTTCTTTACCTGTCTTAGTTGTTCTTGGTTCTTAGAACCTGGCAACTCGTAGTTCCACAAACTACAGATGCTCTGATTTCTCAAGTTCTTCTTGAGAATACGTAGGCACAAAACCCTGATCCTTGGTGAACAATCTTTTCTTTTCTTCTGTTTTTTACACTCTTTTCTTTTTTCACTCTTTTTCTTTTTCACACTTCTCCTTTTATACATAGTTTCCGAACTACGATTACTCTGACTTCCTATTAAGGATACGTAGGCATAGGATTGCGAGATCCTAGCGAGTTACCTTTTATATTTTTATACTTTGTTATTTTTCTACCTTTTTCTTTTTCACCTTTTCTCTTTTTTACCCATCTTTTACCTTTAGGGTGTGTTTGGTTCAGGGTAGATGGAGGGGAGGGGAGGGGAAATTTTTAATTAAATATGTTTGGTTCAAATTTTAGGAGGGGAGGGGAGGGGAGCAAAATCCCTCAAAAACACACTTTTTGGTTCCCTCCGAATTGGGGGGATTTGGAGGGGAGGGAATATGAGTTTTTATATTTAAAAATTATTATATTTACTAAAATATCCTTAGTTTAATTTCAATATTTCAAAACTATTTGTTTTCTTTTGTGTTACTGTTTTTTCTCGATTGTTTTCATCAACTTATTATAATTGTTCTCCACCTTCAAATTATTTAATAATTTTTATAATTAATATAAATCATAATCATTGTCTTTTTTATATAAAAAAATTATGTTTCGTTATATTCGTTTTTTTCTTTTAATTTTGTTATGTACTCTATCATATTTTTTTTATATCAAATTGTAAACCATATCATTTTATTTATTTTTGTTTATTCATTTTATTAAATATTTTGAACCATTAATACTTATTAACAAGTTATTTTATATATTTGTTTTGTTATATGATTCATCACAATTTAAACGATGTTATTGGCATATAGTTTAATTTATGTTGGAAAGTTATAAGTCGAATCAATTGTACTCAATTTTTTAACTTTATGTGACAAATAAATACTTTTTTAATCACTCAATATTAGAAATTTTATTATCAACAAAAATACGTACGAATTATTCATATTTTAATATCATATGACTTATATAAGATCATAAGGATAAAAATGTAAATTATTAATAAAACCACTCCCCTCCCCTTCTGAACCAAACACATTTTTAATTAAAATCCCTCCCATCCCCTTCTGAACCAAACACATTTTTAATTAAAATTCCTCCCCTCCCCTTCCCTCATATCTTTTGAACCAAACACTTATTTGATTAAAAAAATTCTTCACCTCCCCTCCCCTCCCCTCCCCCTCATTTGAACCAAACAGACCCTTAGCAAATAATTTTAGGCAAAACACAAATATTCCAAAAGATTCCTATAAAGTACTACAGATGCTTAGGGTGTTAGTACATTCCCTTAGTATAACCAACCTCCGTACCTTTGATCTCTCTTTACTTAACTTTAGGCTTTACTTTTTCCTTTGCATTTTATTTATGGTTTTTTTTTCTTCCCTCGGATAAATTAAAGATCGGTGGTGATATTTTATAATTTATGATTCAAGTTAATTAATAACTTGATCTTCGATTCTCACCGCGACATATATGTACTGATACAAAATTTTTGATAAAGTTTAAAAGAACACTTTCTTTTTTTAACAGCGAGATTACATTGATTAAATTATTTATAAAATTCAAAATCAAATTTGTTTAATTTTATACAAATTAAATACATTTTGAAACTTTTAAAACATAACTATAAAAAGAGTTATAGAGGTAGATTCTTTTCTTACATAACAATAGATACATAAAAACAATTTTTTTAATTAAAATTCTTACAAAATAATCAAGGGGCATCACATATTTTATTTGAATTCTTTGACTTTGTGACCATACAATGAGTTCAAAACAATAAATAATACCAAAATAATTGATAAGTTTGTATAAAAAATATTATCTAATTTGAAAATATCTTATTTACTGTATAAATATAAGTTTTAAACAATAAAATTAATAAATCAAAACAAGACAGAAAAAGGACAGAGACATGTCAGAAGAACAGTCCAGTGTATATAAACACAAAACACACAACTTTCTTTGACTCTTTTGTGTTTATGCTACATCCTCACAACTCAATGAAGCAAGAAGAACAATGATAAAGGTGATGAATTAACCATTTCATAAACTTAATAAAATTTTAATCTTTTTGATTAGTTCTAATCTTAGGATCCATGGTACTAGTTTCTTTCTTTTATAAGGAAAACACTATAAAAATTCAATCTTTTTGGTTATTTCTTTTTCTGTGTCTGTCTGAGTCTAAAATTTGCTTTTGGTTTATTCCTGAATTTCTCTCTCTTGATGTTGTATTTATCTGTCAGATATTAATGGGTTGCTGTAGATTCCTGTGGTTTTTGCAACTTGGGTTGTGGCTTTTTCAACCCAACTTGTCCTATTTGTAGCAAAGCTGTTGTTGAGATGGGACCAAATTGACCCATCTGCACCTCTTTTGTGGGTTTTCAGGATAACACATCAATGTCATTTATGATTTTTTTGTGTTCAATTTTACCCCCTTTAACTCATTTTCCTTAATCAATTTTAGGGTTTTTTTTTTCTTAATCCTTAATTTATCTTGTTTTACTCTAAAGTTTAGATTTTTAATTAGGGTAGAATCAAGTTAGGTTTTCCCAAATAGATTTTCAGAAATACTGTGTGGTTTTATGTTTGAAATTGAAAAAAACTATTGGTGGGTGAAATTCTCTTTTACTGTCACACTCACTCTCAGACTTGGGTTTTACTTGACTGTGAATGTAGTAATATGTTAGGTGGAGTGAAAGAAGTCTTTTTTATTTGCATATGATGGTTGGTTGATGTGTCAGAAACTTGACAGTTCCTGTGACATTTTGCATCCAATGTTATTTACTAACTTTTCATCTTTTTGATTAAGTAGAGATTATTTGCTAATTAATTTCATGTCTGATAACACAATTTTCGTACAGATGCCGAATGAAATTTACATTTGAGTAGTTCATTCATTGCATTTTTGAAGAGGTTATTTTTCTTGACTTGTTTGTTGGATAAAAACTGTTTTCAGATTAGGATTATTTCTTAATCACTTATATATATTTTTACGGATTCTTCTTTGGGTTTGAATTGCTGTTTTATTTATGCATGTTTGAATTGATGGAAAATTTGCAGAATCACAATGTGCCACTGTAATTTTGACAAAACTTACACTTTATAACTTCAATAGAATCGCGGATTCTTAGTGCTACCGTTATTTTACCAAACTCATCGTCAATCCAAACACGCAGTTTTAAGTGAAAATGAGGTTTAGAGTAGTTAGTTACTCTTGTGAGTGAAAAGTTTGTGGGCCTAAACTGTGAAAACTGTTCCTATCGGTACTACTATGGTAAACTAAAGTTTGTGTTTTTATTATTGAACGCTCTCTTTATCCATTATAATCATATTGGTTTTTCCTTCTTTGTTTGTTACTGAAATGTCTCTTTCTTATATCATAGCTAAGTAATAACCATTTCATTGACAGTGAACTTCACACCATAATTTCTAAAATTTTCCACTTCGCTTAAAGTGTCATCAACTATTGAATCTATGATTTATTATTTTTTTGTCAGATTCTGGATATTTCTCATGTTCTAACTGAAACTTTATTTCCTTTTCGTTCATCAGTAGGTCAGGAATTCACAAGTGTCCACCTTTATTGATTTCTGAAGCAAACCCATCTTTGAAGCTTTCTTGATTTTCATTGGTATTCAACTCTGTTCACCTCAGAGATTTCAGTTTAGTCTGAACCTTATAGTACAACAAATCTTCTCCCACAGTTTTGCATACCACCAAAGTTAATACTATTGGCACAGTCACCACCAAAGAAACAATCTAGATCCAGAATTCTATCATAAATCAAACGAGGGAGTTTGTGTTTTCGTGTGGTTTTCAAGATGTGCTTAACCTAGATTTAGAGCTATTAGGTTGAAACTTGAAATTTGAAAGCTTTTCTCTTCTTCAACAAGACTATGACTATGGATGATGTAGAGAGTAGCTCTGAGTGGAGCAGGGAGCAAGATAAAGCATTTGAAAATGCTTTGGCTACTTATCCCGAGGACGCTTCAGATCGATGGGAAAAGATTGCGGCAGATGTACCAGGGAAGACCATGGAAGAAATTACACAGCATTATGAGCTCTTGGTTGACGATGTTGGCCAAATTGAAGCTGGCTGTGTTCCAATACCGTCGTATAATTCTTCTTCTGAGGGATCAACAAGTCATGCTAGCGATGAAGGAGTTGGGGGGAAGAAGGGTGGCCATAGTGGTCACAATAACAACGAGTCTAACCATGGAACTAAGGCTTCAAGATCGGATCAAGAACGGCGAAAGGGTATTGCTTGGACTGAGGAAGAACACAGGCAAGTTTTTCTTTTGCTTAAACCCTTATGCTACTATAGACTACTTTTAATATTTTTTTATTCTTTCTTTTCAACTTAATTACATTTAAACGTGTAGCTTTGAGGTTAGTTGTAATTAATTGTTGACTTAATTTCCTATCATGTGAAATCTAAATGTTTTGGTGTAATCAAAGTCACAATTTCGTTGTGAACCTTAAAAGTTTCTTTTGCATGCTGTCTGTAAATTTCATCTGTTTGCAATATATCTGTTAGTCCTTAAAATAGTTGAGGATGAAGTGGTTAAAGATAGAAGGGGGAGAGAGGGGAATCTTGATGCACCGAATGTAACCCTATGCGAGCCACACCCAAAGTTCCATATCCCCTGTGTCTCCTCTCCCAAATCCCACCCCCTTCATCTTCAATTCATCACCATTCGGAAATCCTTCAAGGCCGTTGTTGTCTGATGAGGTCACTGTGCCTATTACACTGCAGCTGTTGTGTGTTACATTGCAACGTTTCCTAAATTTTAAAACACACCGCAATTGCAGTCTAATGCGGATTGTGCAACAACCACAATACTGCGGCAGCTGCAAACATGTGTTGTTTTATAAATCAAGAATGAGAAAGTGGATGGGAGGAAATTATTTAATATTCGGATAGCGTTTTAGATAGATGATTCGATGCTCTTTCCGCACCCTATGAACGCATTACCAATAATGCTGTTAGAATGATATGATTTTGAGAATCTTTCACATGAATGTTACGTAGTTAGTTTTTCTTCTGCACTGGTTTATGTTATTTGATTCTTATTTCCCGCTTGATACACTTGTCCTAATTGGATGCAGTGTTGTCAAATAGCTTCTATAACCTAGCAAAATTTGATTAAAATTGCAATTGTTCTGTGATATGCTTATTAGTAGCAAGTTTGTCAAATAGCGGCGTTGTAACACTGGCACAACAAAATTTGAACAAACCGCTTTTATCTGCGATTGACAACATTGTTTGGACGCTTGTTTGAGTGATAAGAATTGTCTCAGATGATGAAAAGAAAGTTCTATTTATTTTATGAATCAATCTCTGAACTGAAATATCCAGGTTTTTCGAGAGAATTTGGACTCTTACAAAAATTTCTAATCAGTTAAATTGAAAGGCCTCATTACTGATCTTTCTTTATATGTTAATTCCATTTTCGACACCATCACTATGTTGATGCCACTACTCATGCAGCTCTTGTGAACGTGTCTACGTCTGCTTGGGAAAAAGAGCCATCTCAGCTTCACTTTTCCATCTCCTATCCACCTTCACATGTTCTGCTTCTCTCTTTGCTATTGGCATATCTATCTTTTCCTCCCTTTTCACAATCTCCAGCAAGTTGCTTAAACTGTTTTCACATAAACTATAAGCTGTTTAGACAAGTTATCCTAGAGAGCTTATATTAGAAATGAGCTGAAGCAACTCATGGACATGTCATAAGCTGTTTTCATAAGCTCTCTCGAATAGTCTTACAAATGTTTATGTTAGTATCAGTATTATCAAATTGCGGCGCCATGGCCGCTATGGCGGATATTCATGGCGGTTTTTGGGCTTGCCGCAATGGTAAATATCGGCCGATATTGCGGGTTTTAATGCCATAACCCGCTATAATGGCGCCACAACGAGGCTGATATGGCAGGATTTTGGCTCTCTGCCATCGACAACACTGGTCAGTATATAATCTCAAATAAGTCAATCCAATTCAGCGAGGTGGTTATTGAGGGAAGTGTGAGTTTTATAGAATATTGGGTTAGTTAGTCTGAGTAAGAAAACAGCTTCCTTATAAGCCGAGGTTTATCTTTTACTTTTCTTAATTTCCATTACCATGTTCTAAAAATCTCGGTTCGATTCCATTGTTTTCTGTTTTATGCACCTTCTTTTATAGACAGCTATAGAGGAAAGTATCCTCTGGCTATAAGAAAATTTCTCCATCTATCAAGTTAATTTCTCAGGGTAAACTGGTTTCTAACTCAAATGTATTATGTTGAGGTTTTACTTGATTTTATTTACTCTCGATTTCACGTTTCTTAGTTTCCTTAAAAGTAATGTATTATGTTTTTTTAGAATTAAGACATAAGAGTTAAGGCTAAGGTTGTCAAGATCGGGATCTTGCATAAGTTTGGGAGGGGATAGTAAGATCGTAAAATATAAGATTGTAACTAAGATCGGAAGATCCTACCCAATTATTTTTGTAAGATCTGGAGGGGTAGCAAGATTGTAACAAAAATCGTAAGATATTACTAATTTGAAAAATAATACTATATATTTAAAGTTTTATTACACGATATTTTGGTAGGCATGTGTATTGGTGGGAATGTGGCCTCCGCCGAACCGTAATTGTTGTGCCTTGGCATCTTGTGATCCTTCTCGGCTTGTAATGGTGGTGAGGGGAAAAGGATCGATCATGGCTGTAAATGGACAAGATCGCACATATTTAATGGCTTTACGATTTTTTCACAATTTGGCTACAACTCACGATTCTACATAAGATCAAGATTGCTGGGGGTGAGTGGGATTGCAAAATCGTTAGATTTTAAGATCTAGATTGTGATGTTGATAACCTTGCTCAACACTACAAAACTGACTTGTTTGTAAGATGGAGATGCCTCCCACTTATTAACTTATTTTAAGACCATATATATCATCAAATGCGGGGCTTTTAACACCCCCTTTACGTCCAAGACTGAACAAATCTTGATATTCCATCTTAAGATAGCAGATGACTTAAAATCTTTGATACTGGGTTGGATGTCACCATTTATAAACTCATTTTCGGACCAATATTTCAACCAACGTGAGGCCCTCTTAGCAAAAATAAGATTTGCTAGTTTTGTTAATTATTAAAACATGATACTCTTGTCTTTTGGTGAATCTTTTGTCTGTTGGATGGGTAGCATCTTAAAGTGCTTGTATAAAATGGCATTCCTTTGGTGCTAGTTCAAATTTAGATTATCATTCATGCTGGGGAAGTTTCATGTTAGAAGATGCATATTCCATGATTTAAGTTGTGGCATTAAACATGGTTAATGTTTTTCATTGTAGAATCTGAGGATCAGTGATTGCAGCAATGTGTGAATTTTACAATTTTATTGATACTGTTTCTAAAGAAATGGCTCATTTTTTCTGCTTCAAAAATTCAAATTGGTTTAACAGGTTATTTCTTCTGGGCCTAGACAAGTACGGAAAAGGCGACTGGCGAAGTATATCAAGAAACTTTGTGGTAACCCGAACGCCAACACAAGTAGCAAGTCACGCGCAAAAATACTTCATCCGATTGAATTCAATGAACAAAGACAGAAGGCGATCGAGCATACATGATATCACAAGCGTCAACAACGGAGACGTTTCAACGCCTCAAGGACCAATCACCGGTCAAACAAACGGTTCCTCCGGAAATTCTGCAAACAAATCAGTGAAACAAGCCGTTCCATCCACAGCCGGTATACCAGGTGCTGGAATATACGCTGCCCCTACCATCGGACAACCTATAGGAGGACCTTTAGTATCTGCTGTTGGTACCCCGGTGAACCTTTCCGGATCTCCACATATGGCATACGGTATTCGAGCACCGGTTCCCGGTACCGTTGTTCCCGGTGCACCTATGAACATGGTCCCTATGACATACCCTATGCCTCATACTTCTGGTCCTCACAGGTGAAGTGCTTTTAGAAACCTTAATGTACAAAAAAGTTAGAAGACTAGATTGGCTTCTGCAGTTGATGTAATTTTTTCTTTTTGCTAGACAAAATTGCTTTTTGATTTATTAGCATGCATGCATGAATTTTATTCTTATTCAGTCATTTCAAAAATAAACCATAGCAGGAAGAAATTGAATGTATGTTTCAGGATAGGTTGCCATGAAATGTGACAACTTTGTGACATAGGAGTAAGGTTGTTTTTTTAGACATTTGAATTGCTATTTTGTTAAACATTGTTGTTGCAGAGGATGAAGGTTTTGTGGTTTTTTAAATAGTGTAAATTATTGTTGCATAATCCTGTTTTTTGTTTTTTGGTATTAAATAAATTATTGTATTTACCTAAATTTAAGTATGTTTTTGATGAATTTGAGTTAGACATTGGTACCTATTTAATTAGTGGTTTTGATTTTTGACATAAAAGAAACTAATTCCAAATTTAAATTAATGTGTAGGATTTGACCCTTTACCTATTTATAATGATTTTGAACTGTTGTTGAAGGAAACAATAGTTACAAAGCCATAGAAATGGAAGGGTATACCTAATTATTTTTCAATCATAAACAAATTAGGGGACAATTTGAGAGGATTTATCTTGTCACACTCTCAATTAAACTTCGCATCCTCATTGGCTGCTATTAATTTTCATGCTCTTACTAATTTTTTTTTTGGGAATTTTTAATATTTTGAAATTTTCTATTGTGTTCATTGTAAATTTCAAAAAATGCTAGTTTTTTATTTTATTTTAAAATTCACGATAAACAATAATAATTTCCAGAAACTATTTAAAGTAATATCGGAATTTTCGATTTATTTTTTACATTATTAAAAATTTTGAAATTTCTAATAAACTACCATATTTTCCAAAATTTCATAAAACTATAACATTTTTTGAAATTTTTGATAGTGTTAAATTTTTTTTTATTGAATAATATCGAAAATTTGAAAAATATAAAAAAATAAAGTGTAGATCGAATTTATCAAAAAGTATGGTATGCTAATTTTTTTAAAAAAATCAATAAAAAGTTAAAATCAATAATTTAAAAATGAATTTATCGAAAATTTGATTTGTTACCAAAAATTTAGAATGGATTATCAAAAATTTCGTTTGCATTTTAACTTAAATTTGTTTATGAGCAGATTAAGAATTATGAAATTTCGTTTACATGTTAGGTCCTCCAATTTTGAGGATATACAAATGTGGATTAGTTAGTCTGACTAAGAAAACAAGTTCCTTATAAGCCATTTACTATGCTAAAAGTGGTATGGGCTTACCATTTACTATGCTAAAAGTGGCATGGGCTGTGATAGGCACCCTTCACACTGTATGGAAATTCAAAATTATTTTCAAAAATTGAAATTCGGACGCACTAAAATACAACGAAGTTTTTTCAAAAACGCACCTCTATCATAATAAAAAATATGTTCGATTTACAAAATTTATACACATCCAATAATAATATTACTTGCGTGTACTTCATGCAAGATAACCCTTGAGTTTATATTGGATGTGTATTATATATATATCAAAGTTATATGTCTTTCATACATTAAGGGAGATATCTCTATTTGGTCTTGTTGCATGTCTCTAATACATTAAGGGAGGAAGTCGACCTTTAATTTGAATTTAGTTTTACATTCGAGTCTCCTTTTCAATTGAACATCTTTAAGGATCGAGTTTTGTATTCGTGTTTTAGCATTCATAATTCAAATTATTTGTGTTTGAGTATGAAGATTATGGTTTAAGTCAATTGTTCGAGTTTTTGGAATAAGAACCAAAATTGAGATTGATTCAACTCATGTCAAAAGTATAATCTCAAAACATCTTTGAAAAATTGAATTTTTGAGATTTTGGATGTGTGATTCGAATCGTTTGAGTCTAATCAAACAAGGCAGAGAAGAATTAGGATTTTGTAAGCTTGTGAGTCGAATCACAACTTGCTCTTGATTCAAATCATGCACTATGTGAGTCGAATCACTATTTGTACATGAGTCGAATCACAAGTTCTTCTTCAGCCACATTCAAGTTTCAGTCGAATCATGCCTAAACCATGATTCGAATCATAGCCTCTATGAGTCGAATCATGCTTTATTCTTGACTTGGATCATAGAAAAATAGGTCTCTCTCTAAGTGTAGATCTTGTTCCACATTACTTTTCCACTAGACTCGAATCACCAAATGTTCTTGACTCGAATCAAACATGATTTTTTCACTTCTTTTTGTGCTTCGTTTCCACCACCTTTGAATCATTTTTAACTCTCAAACTTTTCATAATGTTAGAAAACACATTCATTCATTAATGATTCGAAAACTCACAAACCACTTGTTCTTTCATTTTTAAAAGAGTTTTAAATCTTTCTTAAACACTTGCAAACGATTTCTTTCATCTTCTATCTCCTTTTTTTTATTGTTGCATGAATTTGAATCTTATCTTGGAAGGTTCATGATTAATTGGGGATATTCGTTTTGGATTTAACGTTTCTTTGAAGATAGAGGCTTGCAAAAGTGGGTGGTGTTGTGATTGGTTGTGACAATTCCAGTGGAAAAGAAGAAGGTTCTTCTATCCAAGTTGACCTTAGTAGTACTGTGTTGAAGTCTATGGACAGGGTATGAGTTCTTTTCAATCTTTGGACAAACCAACACTCAAGATACTGATGTAATTGTGTGGAAATTACTGTAGACGGAAACATAGAAGCAAGCTGTTGGGGCTGAAAGATTCAAGAAGCGATCTTGAGTAAAGATTTCACGTAGAGTTAAGTTCGTGGAGTTGTGTACAAGTCAAGATCTAGAAAAGAACAAATTTAATTTTTAGCATTTACTTTTGGAATAATGATTGTAAGAACTCTAGTAATATTGTTGCAAATCATTGTGGAAGACCAACAATTTTTTAATGGGCAACCATTGGAGAGTGAATTAAGCACAAAGCGATGATAAACGAGCCAAACCACTATAAATCTTGGTGTAGTATTCTATCTCTCTCTCTCTCTCTCTCTCTCTCTCTCTCTCTCTCTCTCTCTCTCTCTCTCTCACACACACACACACACACACACACACACACACATTTAATTTCATAGTTGATCACATGATTAGGTTGTTTCTATTGCTTTCTATAACTGCACACTGATAGGTTCATTTGTTAGTAGCGGTTTGTTACATAAGTTGTAGGTTTTGTTAGAATTGGTAATTCGACCTTGTCTTAGTGTGGATTAAGTCTAAATAATTTGATAGTAGAATCTTGTACGTGATTAAAAATCATTCGATATGACATCTTATGGAATTAAACAATTTTGCAATACGATTAGTTCGTACTTTACAGAAATTCAGTAATTCAATTTGATGCATTGTAAACTCATTAAGCACATCTATTGAATCTCTCAATATAAGCATAATCTCTTTTACGCAAAATTTACTTTTACCACGCAAAATAAACTCAACTTTTGAAACCGTGTTAGAAACCTTTTCAAACAAATTTTTAACTTGGAAGGTCTATTCACCCCATATACCGTTCATAGTCCATATCTCACCCAACAATTTACCTCAGAGTTGGTCTTTTGATCAAGTCTAAGCGGCTCAAAAGTTTGTGAATACGGGTGACGACAATTCGAAGGGAGTGTACAATATAGTTCCACTTTTTAAAGGCTAAAATTATGCTTATAGGAAAGATAACATGTATGTAAACTTAATGTCAGTTGACAAGAATATATGGGTACAAATTATCGACCGACCTTTTATCCCTAAAAGCAAAGTCGATAATGCTATTAAAAATCTAAAAGATTGGACTGATGATGAAACCAAAAAGGCTTCATATGATTTGAAGGCGAGTAATATTCTTATATCCGCATAAAGTGCCAAAGTATATTACTTTATCTCACATCATAATAGTGCACAAACTATGTGAAATGCTCTTCAAACCCTTTACGAAGGTACATAAGAAGTTAAAAATTCTAAAATCAATATGTTGACAGAGGAGGACACACTTTTCCATGTAGAACTCGGAGAATCCATGGAATCAACGCAGACTCATTTTCTCCATTTAATCAACAAACTAGAAAATTTGGGAAAGACCTTTTCTAATAAAGATTGTGCTAACAAAAATTTAAGATCTATGTGTAGGGAATGGAAACCAAAGGTAATGGCCATAAAATAGTTAAATGGTCTTAGTTATTTGGATATCACAAAACTGTTTGGAGAGCTCATCGAACATGAGAGTGAACTGAAACTACTAGTTAAAAGCGAAGTAAAGTCAAAGAAGAAAGAGAAAGTAAAATAAGATAAGTGAGATATATCCTTGAAAGCTTTGTCGTCAAGGACAAAGAAAAATAAGGACGAAGGTGATAATTTTGACGAAGATTCTTCTAAAGAAGAAGATATGAGGTTATTCGTCAAAAGCTAAAATAAATATATGAGGAATTATAAGCTTAAGCATTTCAAAAAAATCCGATTAACTTGAAAAAGTATCATCCGCGCAAGAAGGAACATAAGAGAAAAGAAGAATATGTCAAATGCTTTGAATTTAGAAAATCGGGTCCCTATAGAGCCATGTGTCAGAGTATCAACAAACATCATAAGAAAATGGATAATGAACTCTACAAGACGAAGGAAAAATATGCTAAAGGTTGTAGAACCTATATTTCGTGGGCATAAGAAGATGAAAGGTTCTATTCATCTTCCAGCTAGATTTCTGATGATGAATGTGCCAACATATACTTGACGACACACAAGAAAAGTGAAGACTTTGAGGTATATACCTTTGATCCTGAAGTTAAACCGTCTTATAAGCAATTGCCAAAAGCTTTTAGTGAAATGCATGCAGATGCTCTAAATGCTTTTAAGAAAATTTCTCTCCAAAGAAAACTTATTTTAAAACCCGAAAAAAGGAGATAAATGATCTTTATAGTGATTTAGATTCCTTAAAGGAAGAGGATGCATCTCTTGTAGATGATCATTTTAGTACTTCTAATA